CTCCAGAATGCAAGGCAACCAAGCACTCTACCAATGAGCTGTTCTCCAAGTCAAAGTGTCTAACTTTTTCATGAATATTAGATCCACTAACTAAATTTCATGCTCAGGTTGATATATTTCTTTTTCTACTGACCAAACTTATGAGTAAGGTCAAGATTGTGGCAGTGTTGCTGCAATTCCATTTTACATTTCCTAAGATTAAAGTACTCTTTCAGACTCAATAGAGTCACACATCATCATCCAAAGGAAGAAGCCAGTGTGCTCTTTCAGTTCATTCACACAGATCAGTTACTTGATAGTTTCAAAATTTTCCAGATGAATAACAACTACAGTGTTTATCTACTACTAAATCTAGATCAGTAGATGTATCGATCATATACATGGATGATATATATATACATGCATAAATATATCTCTCCACATGTGATCCTGACTGAAAGCTTAAGGTGTAGTGATTATATTCCTATTTTTCTGATGAGCTCACTGAGATTTGAAAAAGTTAAGTAAATTGCCTGGGGCCATACAACCTAGAGATAGGCGTGGTCTTTTGGGGCATGGGTCTCTCTGGCTTTGCAACTTATGAATCGTACAATTAGAGTCCATTTCTTCCTGTTCTCCACTGTACTCTGAACGCAGCAGTGGGGCGAGATGAAAATGAGAAGAGAAATGTATGAATTAACTCCACACAATGGAATATTATACATTTATAAAACAAAATGGAGTTATCTAGTCAGTGTTACTAGGCCGTTTTTACAAATTTTCTGTACCTCAAACATTGTTTTCATGGTAAAAATTGGAAAAGAAAATGAAAAAAATCTGTACTTACATGGAAAGTCCTACAAAATATATTTTAAGTTGAAAAATCAGACATAGTTTCACAACAGAGCTACATGAATTTTGTATTTAGATATATAAGCACTGGAAAGTTGCACAAGAAATCAATGAAAGTATAGGTAGTGTAATCATAGATTTATTTCATTCAAGCCAGGATAATTTTATAATAATTTTATATTTAAAGAAGTGTTGCAAAAATAGCAGAGTTCCTGTATACTTTTCCCAGTTTCTGCTTTATTAACATCTTACATAATCAGTACCATCACCAACTGGCTGGGTGGGGTCTTTTTGCTCAATTTGCACAGCCAACGTGAATTGTTTGTTGTGAATTTTTGTTGGTGGCTTTGGCCTTGAGTGCCCTTAGCACTACAGCTCCTGGTCTTGAGTTACACGCCTTTAGTTCTTCGTGGTACAGCTCCTGGCAGCACCGGGCTGTCCCCCTCAGCTCCCAGCTCCTAGCCATCTAGGGCTCACACCCTTCTTGGGAGTTTCGTGGAGCTTTTGTAGCCACTCCCACTGTCTCTTTGGGGGCTCTTCCTCGGGTGTCCACAGGTCCTCTCGGGATGCCACCACGCTCTTGAGAGCTTCAGCGCTAACGGCCCTCAGTGTCACCAGCTGTTCTAGTGCAACCCTCTCGGCTCACTCTACCTCAGGTAAAAGTTCCGAGTAGACAACAGGACTACTGAGCAAGGCTTTTGGGGGAGACTACACTGCCACACAGAGCAGAGGGAGCCCTCCTTGATTCCCCGACAGCGTGAGAGCGCATTCCCTGTGTAGAGGAGGAGTTGGCCCCAGCACGCAGAGTTTCCTGCATTTTGTGCACCTGATTTGGGACTTCTGAGGTGGTGAAGAGGCCGTGGGAGTGGCTGCAGAACACAATCACTTGGGACAGTCTCGTCCCTCCTGCAGGTAAGGCAAACATCTCCTGGGTCAGCCCTGGACCTGGAGAACAGCCTCAGCTGTCCCAGCGACAGCTCAGTAGATCTGGGGCAGGAACCGCTGTTTGATTGACAGCTCCCACCGTTTAGGGCAGGTTGGAGGGTGTGGCTGCCCAATTTTTTAAAAATTATTTTTTATTAGTACATATTTGTCATACACAATGACCACATTCATCATGGGAAATTTGTAAGTAATTTGTATGTAATTCTTTTTCTTTCCCATTTTCCTTCACTCCTTTCAAACCCTCCTCCTTTCCCTATTTACAAAAGCTGTTTCCACATTTCCCTTCGATTGTCTCTATCTTTAAAAACCCGCTTTCCCTTCCTTCCCTCCATTCCCCTTCCCGATTGAACCGGTTCTTCCTACTTTCTAACATCCATGACTGCCCCACTTCTGAGGGGTTCCTGGGAGCAGTGACGGTGCTGACCGTGGCACATCGGGGTTTGGGGATTTGGGGGATACAGTGGTGAGTCCCAGTTCATCTTGTTCTTTTCCCTGTCAGGCGTGGTCTTCCAGCTGCTCCTCAGAGAGGCAGCGGCCGTGGCTCGGAGTGAGGAAGGGGCCTCACAGCCGTCAGCCACGGGCAGCTCTCGTCAGGGACCCTGGATCTGGTCCTCTTGGTCATTCTCAGCACGTGAGGGCTGTCAATGAGATCCGGCCCCTTGGGCTGTCACAGGGGAAAGGGAAGGTTGGATCACATCTTCCTGTCTCCTACAATTGTCAGAACTACGAAATTAACATCCACACGGTGCAATTAACTAAGTAACAGACTCGGATTTCTTCAGTTTGTCCGCTAGTGTTCTTATGTTCTAAGGTACATCAACATCCTGCATTCCATCTCTCTGTCCCATCTTCTTCAGTCACTTTCTGTGTTTAATAACCTTGGCATTCCTGAGGAAGACTGGTCAGTTACTTTGTAGGATGCCTCTCAGTTTGGTTTGTGATTTCTCATGACTAGAGGAGGTTATGCCTTTTGCGAAGAATACTGTAGAAGTGATGCTGTATCTCTTGCGGAGCACAATGTATCTGGGGGGGTACATGATGCTCATGTCTTATTACTGTTTAAATTAACATTATCACTTAAAGCGGTGTCTACTAGCACTCTTCACTACAATATTACTATTTCCTCTCTACAGTAAGTATTGGGTTAGAGATACTTTGAGGCTATGCAAATATCTTATTCTTTCTTTCTTCAAATTTAAGACTTTGCACTTTCAAGGCAAGCACAGTGCCACTGAGCTAAATCCCCGGCCGTATCCTGTTCTTTCTCAAATTGTCACCCACTTATTTTAGCTGGTGCATCTTGCCATCAGCAATTACTATGGTGTACTAATGGTGACTTCCTATTTTCTTCATTTTTACTACATTTATTAGTTAGAATTCTGTAGGGAAGCATTGTACCATCTCCATTTACTTATTTGTTCAGTTATTTGTATTACTATGGACTTCAAAATATCTATTTTATTCATTGAGTTATAATTCAAATACTATCATTATATATTTTATTGCTCAAGTTTTTCCAGCTTAATGGCCATTCAGAGGCCATTAAGGGGCTGCTATGTCCTTTCAACATAAAGCTCATTTTAAAAGCCCTTTCTGCTACTGCAAGATGTTAAAAGCTCCTCTTGTATTTTCCTTGCCTACACCAGAAGTCAATTACTTTCTTTCACACAAAAACCTGTGAGTAGATTTTCAGGGCAGCTTTCTTAATAATTCCTCAAAACTGGCAATAAACCAATTGTCTCTCAACCAATGAATGGCTAAGCAAACTAATATACCTATATAGTAGGATGCTACTTGGCAGCAGATAAAAGTTTTTGATTCATGCAATGACATAGATGCATGTTACAGAATGGAAGAAGCCAGATCCAAAGAATGACTGCATTAATATGATATTTTGAGAAAGCAAAATTATAGGTAAGGAAAACAACTTAATGATTTCCAGAGTTTGGGAGGTTGGGGGAAAGGTTGACTATTGAGGGGAAGCAATGATAAATTTTGGAAGCCTTGAAACTGTTCTATACACAGTTATGGTGGTAGCAATTGGACTACAGATTGGCCAAAACTGAATCGCGGGAATTCCATACTCTCAGTAAACTGATCTATTGGTGGGTTTGTAGTTAAATGTGCTGTTAGGAGGAAGACCTCACTGAGGCATGTGTCACTGGTGGTGTGACTTTGGAGGGTATATCTTCCTCCTTGGATCTTCCCTTGTGTCTCTGCTTCTTGGTTGCCATGAAGTGAAGAGCTTTCCTCCACTATGCCCTTCTACAATTTTTTTGCCTTGCATGCATGCAGCCATGGACTGAATCCTCTGAACTGTGAACCCAATTACACATGTCCTTTAAGATTAGGTGTCAGGAATTGTATGCAGTAACAAGAAACCAGACTAATACACATACATATTTTAAACAGCTAATTTGGTCAGTTAAATGCAAGGAATGCAATCAAATAAGTATTTTTAAAATTAATAAAAATGTCTCTCATTATAATTAGAGAATAATCCAGACCTTCAATACTGTTAAAATGGTAGCAATTCCCTAAGAATATAAATACTAGGTATATTTCACTAAAAACATTCAAACTGAGCTAAAATTGTAACTTTTTTTGTTTGTTTGTTTGTTTTTCTTTTGTTTTGTTCTTTAGTACCAGGGATGGAACTCGGGTCCTTGCACTTGTGAGGCAGGCAGCAGTAGCACTGAGCTAAATCCCCGGCCCATAATTTGTATTGTTGAAGAGGTGATAGAAAGCTAAATCTTTATAAAACTTTCTTTAATAAGATTATACTACAAAATGGAATTATTTCTCCTCTGGTCTTTGACAAATAGAAAAACCTACATCCACATTGCTTTCTTTGTTGCTTCCTCATAACAATCAGTACAGAGGATCTACCAAGCTAAGGAATCGATCAAATTGACAACAGCGTCAAATTTCTATATTAGTTCTGACATGCAGATTGTCTAGAAACCTTTGACAGCTTGGCTGGTTTCATTTTCAACCCCATCCCTGGAAAGCATCCTGGCTTCCTCAAATAACTGTTCATGGAATACATTCTCTTTAACCACAGTGCTATACAGATACAGTTTTTTCTTATGCAAATGGAACAGCTTAATAAATTCAAAGGGACTGCAGTTTTAAATGATGATGAAAATAGATTTTATTACTTATTCTACAATGGCAGAACTGAAGAGTGTTTCTTTATCAATAATCTTTAGATGTCCTGGAAAATTAACCAGTATGCCTGGCTCTATTATTAATTCACTGGATGATTTTCGGTAAATTTCTTAAACTCTTGGTGATTTAGTTTCTGTGTTTATAAAATAAAGAGGATTAAGTAAGTTAATTAATACCATTAGGAGACAAATGTCCAAGATCTCTCCCACTTCTATATAACTTATGAGGAAGGACGCTGAATGATCTTCATTTTGCACAATCACTTCAATAACATTTTATAGAGAACAGCCTCAGAAAGTTGAGACATTGTTTCTGGAGCAAAGGGCAGGCTTATCCTTAATTATTCACAGTTTGAACTCTGTAACCTTGCAGATCCTCCCCCCGAAACACAACCCACTAAACGTACCATTATCCATCTGGGCCGATATGTGACATCCCTCTGGCACTGGGGACGAGTGGAACCAGTGTGAACACGCTGAAGCTCACATTACTCATTGTGTCGTATGCAGCAAAGACTCTTGTCTCTAACCCACGATTCCACATCTACGAAACAGTGGCAGAATAAGTTGTTAGCTTATAGGCAGCATAAAATTTCAGACCCTTGTCAGTTCTTTTTTTTTCCTTTTCAGTTCTTGATGCATATAAAAGATTTAGAGTCTGAAATATGGAAGATGCTTAAATATTGATGTTATTAATATTTATCACCATCACTATTATCTATCTAGCCTTAAAATTTTTAAAAATTTTTTTCTTTTTATTGAGTTTATTGGTACAATCTAGGTATACGATACAATTACATTCATCATTGGGATTCTGTACCTTTACATAATAGGTCTTGATTCTCATTTTTCCCCTTGTACCTGCCCTCCCTTCACCCCAGCCTCCCACAGCAGCAACAGAACTTTGCTGTTGTCTGGATATTATTCTTTTCTTTGTTTTTTTTTTTAATGGAATGTGCTGAATGTCTATAATTTTGTTCAGATGACTGCAGAACCTGGAAAAGCTGTTGCTGCTATCGATGCATAACATACTATTATTAGTATATATATATATATATATATTCCTGTTTAATCCCAGTCATGGACACATTGATGTCTCTTTTCTGTATTTTTGAAAAATTAAGAAATTAAATAAAATTTACTCTGTTTTGGATTCAGTAAGAACCTTTCCTGCCAGGAGTGCTGGTGCACACCTGTAATCCCAGCACTTGGGAGGCTGAGGCAGGAAGATCGCCATGAGTTTGAGACTAGCCTGGATCACATAGTGAGCTCAAGGCCAGCCTGAACTATATAGTGAGAACCTGTCTCAAAAACAAAGCAAGACAACAAAACCAAAACCAAAAGCCCCCCAAAACACACAAACCTATCCAACATAATACGTGGGGTATATAAATGTATGTGAATTGTGTGTACACGAGTAAGGAAAGCGAAAACCAGGTCTGAAACTTGTGAGGTTTTACACTGGTTTCACGTGCACGCACACACTCTCTCTCACACACACACCCACACACCCATGCTGAGTCTCTCTCTCTATATAACCACAGGGGCAAGCTCTTCCTGTTCCCAGGAGAAGGCTCAAATACTCTTTCTCCGTTCCTGGAGAAGTCTGTTAAGAAACTGCTGTCCCACACCTTATGTTTTCCTAGACCTCCTCCTCCAAATCCACACGCTTGTTGGTGCTTTCTGACGACACCCCCACCCGTGTTTCCAGCCGCACTGTGTTTGCGGGACAGACTCCACCTCTGTCCGAGGGGCAGATTCCGGCTGGCACCAATCAGACCCACCATTCTATCCCATGCTCCTGCCCCCTGGAGACCGGCTCAGACCTGCACCCTTCCGCCCTCCAGGGCAGGCCACGACACCCCGGGCTGCTTCCAGAAAAGGGATCTCCCCTCTTCCGGGGAGTGAGGTGACATGGGTGGAAAGGGGGATGGGAACACTGCCCCCAGCTCACCGCCAGAGGCCAGCCTGACAGCGGGGGCCCTCCGGGAACAGAGGAGGCCTGCGTCCTAAGTCAGCGGGCGCCAGCGTGGTCCTCACTTTAGGTCGCAGTTACAGGAGCCCACAGTCTTCTTTTTGCTAACCTGAGCGTGATAGGCAGGGGGTGCAGCTCAGTGGGAGAGCTACGTGCAAGGCCCGGATTGGCCTGAATTCCCAGCACCAAAAGGAAATAAATAAACCAAGCTCAAAGGCCCAAATAACATAGAGGAACACAGTGCAGGGCGACCTCAACGCACAGACCACCTGACGGGTCCGTTTCCCCAATCAGGTTATCAGTGTCAGGCAAGAATTGCTCTGGCTTGAGTGCCGCTTGTGAGTTGGCTTTGTCACTCACAAAAGGCCATTGTTTGCTGGTTTGGGCTGGGATAGGGATCCTCTAAAGGCCACTCCGTGCTTTTCTGTCATAGACGTGGGTTACACTCCTGGTGTCACCTCGGGCTGCAATGCAGCTATTGAACTCCAGCCGTCGTGCCTGAGTCTGGATGTGAAGAAAAGGATAAGAACGAAAGAACACACTTGAAAGAGACATGCACATCTTGTAAACATTCTTCCCACAAGTGCCCCTGCTTACCTTATGCTGGCCAAATTTGAATATTCCAGCTGTATCTGGAAGAGAAGCTTGTAAATGTGTTCTTTTCTTTTCCTTGATACCAGGGATCAAACACAGCACCTTGTGCTTGCCAGGCAGGCACGGCGCCACTGAGCTAAATCCTTGGCCCAAAAGTGGTCTTTAAATGGAGCTACAGCCACCTGTGAATACTGAATTATGGCCACCTAATCCCAGAAACCTGAGAACGTGTTATGTCACATGGCAAAAGGAATTTTGCTGATACACCTCTCTTACAGTAAAAAACAATTTTTTTAAAGGACTGAGGATGTAGGTTAGTGGCCTAGTATGCACTTAGCCATGGATTCCATCCACAGGTTATCTTTAGAAGCTGGAGAAGATGAGAAAATAGATTTCCCCCTAAAGCCTGCAGAAAGCAGGCCTCATGAGGTCCTCACTGTAGTCCAGAGAAACTGGTCTCTCAGATTTCCCACCTCCACAGCTATAGGAAAATACTTTTGTTGTTCTTTAAGTCACTGAATTTGTAGTAATTTGTTACAGCAGCAATGGAAAACTAAGCCCAAGTGCAATCAGCATTCTCTTAAAGGAAATAGGCTCTCTCAGTTTCGTGTGAGAGGGGTAGATTCCTGCAGTGCCGGGCCTTCTCCCTGCCCACTGTCGCCTGGGACAGCCAGTGTACCAGATGAGCACCCTTAAATTCTCCTAAGCACGCAATTCCGGCTTTCCAGAAAAAGCCGCCTTACATGAAAGCACTTTAATTTGGATCCACAGTTAGCCTAAAGGTCCAACATTGTCATTCTGATTTTCATGGACAGATGTTTTTGTTTTGTTTTGTTGACAGTGGTAGAGCGGTAGGGAGGTGTAAAGACATCTTACATTTGCCAGTACTTTAGCTAATGGAGGGGGAAAATGCATTGGCAACTGAATTCCCAAGAGTGAATAAAAGAGTTTTTTTGTTTTATTAGAAAACTCCCCATTCCAAGGCTGATTGTCAAGATCGCAATGGTTACAAAAGGAATATTTGGATAATTTTAATCGTTGTGTTTTGGAGAATGTTGTATGTTGAATCCCTCAATGAGGTCGTAATGACCCAAAATTCTTCCTAAAACATGAAGGACCTGAAGGTTTTCCTATTTCTCTTGATATCTGAGTGAAAAGGCAAATCTTGTTATGAACAAAACCTAATGTCAAATGCCTAAAATAACAAACTACCCTATCAATCAGAAATCACTTCAATCCTCAGGGAACTATGTCTCTTCTTTAGAAAAGTCAGGCAATGTGGAAGGGGAGTCTTTCTCCTTTAGAAAAGTCCTTACTGCCAGGTTGGTTCCTACTCACTAGTGAGGCCTCTGATGCTGTTGAAGAAGTCTCTCCCCATGGCAACTGTTGCCAGGCAGGGCTCTGCTTCCTGAGGAGCCGGGGAGGAAGAGGCGGGTTGAGTCAACAGGGACAGTGAGTGGAGCCACATGTGGCTTGTGGGCTGAGCGCAGGACGCTGGGCTCCACAAGTGGCTCTCCAGACTGAAGAGACTCTGAGGACCAGAGGGGGCACAGTGAGGCGGGGTTGCTGGCACCATGCTTCTTCCACGGCCTGGCGTTTCCTTCACGATCTTCCACCGTTAGTGTGAACCCTAGCTTCTTTTCATACACAGTGAGCTATATCACATGGCTGGAGTGCGTGTGGGGTTGCTATTTAAAATAAACAAAATGTACAACTCCCATTGTAGCCATTTGGGAGTGTGCAGTGTAGGGACACTGAGAATGGTCACAGGGGTGGGCCACGGTCACCACGGTCCAACCCCAGAACTGTCCTCTGCACACGGAAACTCTGTGACCACTGAGCTGCAACTCCCTCAGTCCCCCTCTCCCCAGACTGGCAACTACTGCTCTGCTGCTGTCTGTGTGCTCCACCACTCCAGGCCCCTCACACTGAGCAGAATCAGCCAGCGTCTGTCCTACTGCATCTGACTTACTCACTTGGCCTGGTGTTTCCAGAGCACAACCACTCTGTGGTGGGTGTGGCAGGATCACCTTCCTTTATGAGGTGGATGATATCCCACTGTATGTGTATGCCATGCTTTTTAACCCATTCTGCTACGGATGGACATGTGCATTGTATCTGCCTTTGGCTATGGTGGACGATACTACTGCGAACACTTATATAAAATATCTGTTTGAATAGGAAAGGAGAGGGCAGCCTACAATATTATACAACAAGGAAGAGGGGGCGATCTTTGTCTGGATTGCTGCAACAAAATCCCATAAACTGGGTAGTTTATAAGCATGCATTTACTTATAACAGCTCTGGAGGTTCAGACATCCAAGTTCAATGTGCCAGCAGACTGGGGATCTGGAAGAGACTGTTTCCTAATCCATAATTGCTACCGCCTGGCTGCAACCTCACAGCATCTTTTTTATAAGGCTCTGACCCCTATCCTAACCGTCTCCCACAGGCCCCGCTCCTGGCACTGTCACCCTGGGATAAATTTCAGGGTACAAATTGGGGCAGGGCACCAACATTCCAACAATGGCAGACTCTGTGTGTAGAGGTTTTGACTCGGTAGATGTGGGAGGGATTCCCAAGCACCCGTCCAGTCAAGGTCACCGCCCTAATGTTGCAGGAAGACACACCAGTCACAAGATTAAAAAATTCAAAGAAGACATCAACGGAACTCTCTCCAGAAACAACACAGCCTGAGAAATGGTTTCCAAGCATGTTTCGAACGGGACCAGGCTGTTATCATCTGGGAGACAGCCAGCAACTCTAAGATGCTGTTTGACGTTGGACATTTGTGCTGGAGATAGTGTCGTGACAGAAATTCTCAGTACTGCCAAGAAGTAGCCCATCTGAGAAGCCCAGCTCGCGGTTAACTGGTTGCTGTGTCTACTAAACTGTCCAGAAGAGGGCAGGCTCTGGTGTTAAAAGTGGCACTGGCAAATACTCATTTTATTGACAAAAGAATGCCTCTAATGTCCAGCTTAATAAATTGTCAGATGGATCCTCATCACGGCTAGCACTCATGAAGCAGCAGAACATCACCACTTCCCAGAATCCCCGACTGTTCCAGCCATAACCCCCTTCCCCAAAGCACCACTGTCCTGACTTGTAAGTGCCACCCACGGCTTTACTTGTTTTGCATCTGCGTACATGGAGTCGTGCAACATCTGCTCTTTTGTATCTGCCTTCTTTCACTCAGTGTTATGCCTGTAAGAGTCACCTGTGTGTTATTCAGTTATAATTCGTTCATTCCCATTACTGGATACTAATCCATCTGTACTGGTGTCTGTCTTCCTTATGTAGGCATATAGCTAAAGAGTATAAAAACAATCCACGTGTCAATAGAAATTTGTGGGAAAATCTCTTTAAAATATCCAGTGCCTGTATTCTAACTCTGTGCAACTGATACAAACACCTGGCCAGTGACTTGAGACACTGATTTTACCTACCCAAAGGCAGAAACTTGAGCCGACAGCCTAACAGTTCTGATTCCAGAGGTCCTCCTCCATGTACAAGATTGTAAACAGCAACTTGGAAGTCCTCTCAGCATCCTATGAGTGTGTTTGGCACAAAGAGATTCCCTATGGTTCTGTCATTGCCAGATGAAATGACAAAACCAAAGCTTTTGAATATTTAAAACTGAGTTAAAAAGAATTCTCAATGAACCTAGGTCTGAAGGTACCTGATGACAATTGATTCGAGCTATATTGACTTGAACTGTATTGATCAGAACCAAAGAGACTGGAGTACTTGGAGCTCCATCTGTAGCAATCATTTCTCAGAGTGTAAATATCCTAAAAAGGAGCCTGGTGGAAAACAGAAAACACGCAGAGCTGGGAGGTTGTAGGGAATGTCATAGAGCCATTTCCCAGAGGTTTGGGTAGGGCTGAGAGAACCAGCAAAGAGGGCTGAGGTGCCCACGCAACATGACGGGAAAAGGGAAGGTAGGTTCCTGGCGACCAGGCAGGGGGAGCAGGGGAAGCCGGGCTGCCCGAACGGGCTGCTGGAACTGTTCACAAACTCACGGAGGGAGTGGGAGTGTGTGTGTGTGTGTGTGTGTGTGTGTGTGTGTGTGTGTGACTCCAGACTTTCTCCCTCTCCCCCAGGGCCAGATGACAAGGAAGCCTGTAGTGCACACCATGTGGTTAAGCTTCCAGGACAGGGGCGGGACTGAGAAGGTGGAAAGTGGTATCCAGGGCATTGGCTTGGCACACAGAGAAGACCAGTGTCAAAGGATAAGTTCCGTGTGGTATGGTACTGGCCCCAGACATGGGTGAAGAATAGCACTTAAAGCAAAACCATAAGGAAACGTCTTAAATTTTATATTATTTTTTGGATCTCACCCTTGCTTTTAATTTCACAATCTATTTTCCATGCTTCTGTTTCACTTGAAGTCTTCTTAGATTAATTGCTGCGTCATTTTTGTGTGACCTTGAAATAAAGCCAAGCCCTAGCAACCCCCTCAGTCCTCAACAAATAGGATCCCGTTCTGGGTTGGAGTTTTAAGCCAAGTTAAAATGCTGAGTTTATCAAATATATTTGTCCATCAACAAGCAAAATACACAAATTATATTACGTATTTCAGTTTTTCAAAGCATTTGTTATATTTCTTGTTTGTTTGGTACTGGGGATTGAACTCAGGACCTTGCTGTTGGGAGGCAGGCGTGGTGCCACTGAGCTAAATCTATGCATCTATTTCTTAGACACATAACCAAAATATTATCCTCTTTCCATATCTGTAAATGTATTTTGGGTTCTTGTCTCAAGAAGCTGTGAAAAAATATATTTAAACAAGAAGAGGCAGGGGGCTTTTCCTACGTGAATACTGTTGAAAATGTTATGAGGTGGTGCTGTTAAGAGAGATGCAGAAAAGTTGAAAGTGATAAGAAAATAAGAAATTAAGAAAGAAATTAGGCAGATGCAAAAGAGATCAAAACAGGCAAGTGATGTGAACAAAAATGGTATTAATTTTATGTGTCTTATGGAAATGAAACTTAAAAAGTAATTGATATATTTAAAAATGTTTTAATTGATTTATTTTTATTAGTACATGTTGGCAGTATATATTGATCACATTTATTGTGGGGAGTCGGTACATGTATGCAGTGCATCTTAATTCTTCTGTATGAAGTAATTTAAAGTCTATCTCATTTTAACTAAAACGGTGGAGAAACACTGAGTGAGGGGAATACTTGGTGCTTGGCAGGCTGCAAATGACTTAGTCTTTCTGTGGCTTAGTTTCCTCACCTATTAAGTTAGAATAAAAGTGGAACTAATTCATCAAGTAAGAAATTATATGATGAGGTTATTGAGAAATTCAATATTCTTTGTTAGAATGCATGGGTAATATTTAAAAAGGATCTCTTTGTTTAGTTTCCCTTGTAGGTGAGCAGACCACTTGCCCCTCTTGCATGAAGACTTAGCAATGAGGTGGGGTGGGAAGGGGCATCTGCCTCAAGGAGACAGCAAGGGGAAGTAGAAGGGAAGACGTCTTTGCCAGTCGTGGCAGGTCACGGAGAAGATGGCAGACCGAATGCTCCTCACAGTATAGGCCCTCCCCTGGCTTTGACCTTTGGGCTCTTTGATTGATGCTGAGGTCATCTGCCTCAAAGCAAATTTAGTGCCAGAACAAGGGGACGAGAAACCCCGAGTTTCACTTTACTGAGTCCAGGCCATGGAAGGAGGAGCGCGCAAGACTGAAATAGAGAGGAGTCCATGCAGGGGCTGCAGTGACGGGGCCAGTGCAGCCAGTGGCCACCACTGGGCCCGGAGGGAGTGGAGAGCTCTGAGGTGAGGAGACCCAGAGGCCACCCCCAGAGGCTTACACCAGAGGGACACGTTGGCATCTGGACACAGCAACCAGCTGCTGCCACAGGATCGTGGGCCGCTCCTGCCACCTTTCCTGCGGCGCACTGGTGTGGCCTGGGGAGAAAGGCAGGCGTCGGCCTTTGTACACGAGAAAGGTTGAGAGTCAATTTAAAGAGATTCTTAAAACCACTAGGTAAACAATTTTACCCACGTGGCTCTTTTTCTTACCTTAAAAGAATATTTTTGATACCAAGAAGGAAAGATCAAATAAGAAAAAAAAAAAAAAACCCAGAAAACAAAAAAGCCACCGAATTTCTAAGAGTGATAATAATACCTTTGCAATGAAATCACGGATTTACTCACACTACATTAGTATCTTTGTGTTCGTCTCTGAAACACACTTTTTTGAATAAATGAATGATAATGCTCTTGAAATAATATAACAAAAACAAAACAATCTTCAGATGCGGAAAAATTACTCTTCAACTACACAAACACTGAAAGTGTAGAGGCCCAAGAGCATTTAGCTTAGAGGCAAAGCTTCTTACACTCACCAGCTCCCAGGGGCGTCAGTAAACACCAC